TTTCCCAGGATGCTATGGCACAGCCCTCACACTTTTAGTTTCTCAATTTAGCCTAGGCAGACACAAAAGCTTTGTTTCAAAAACTAGAGGACTGCCTTGCCGTCTTCAGCCCACATCGGCAGCTGGTTTCTAAGGCTGCATCTTACCTGAAATGGAGCCTCATACGTGACTGATTTGGAATGCTCTGCATAGACAGCAACTCCCCACCTAGCGCTTCTTACATGTACACAATAAAAATACACACACACAAATATTGGATGAAATATTATTTTGTAGTATTAAATGCAATACGAGTTCACTACGTTCAAACGTTTGGGGTCAGTAAGACTTTAAAAATATATATATATATTAATACTTTTATTCACCAAGGACACATTAAATTGATCAAAAGTGACAGTGAAGACATTTACAAAGTTACAAAATATATTTCAAATAAATGTTGTTCTATTGATTCTATTCTGAAGGGTCATGGGACACTAAAGACCCCGGAGTAATGGCTGCTGAAAATTTAGCTTTGCCATCACAGGAGTAAATTACATTGTAAAATATATTAGAAATGTAAAACGGTTGTTTTAAATTAATAATATTTTACAATATTACTGTTGGGTCAAGTAAATGCAGCCTTGGTGAGCATAGGAGACTTTCAAAAACATTCAAAAATCTTACCGGCCCCAAACTTTTGAACAAAAGTGTATATAGTAGGCATTACTTGTTTTGGATGATTTTTCTCACAGTTTAACCATTGCACTCAAGTGAAGGATGCCAGGAACGCTGCCTTAGAAGTTGACCAAAATTAGGCTTTTGAAGGAAGCATAACGTTGCTGCCTACCTTTTTAAACAGCCTTCACATTCAGAGTGCACCTCTGATGCCTTAAAATGCTGTCTAGGCAGCTTAGTAGGTTTGGATCAGAGCTAAATTATACATTTATATTCTCTGTCTTGTGTCACCTAGAGATGTTTGTCTCTCTTCTTTTCTGCTCTCTCCCTCTCTTTCTTTAAAGTCTATTAATGAATAGATTTGCTAGTGTGGTCGGACGGTTGGTTGCCTGGGTAATTGAAGCGATGGCTGTTTTGAAGTGCTAGTGTATGATCGTCTCCTCCGCCTGCTTGAATTTTATACACAGGGCTGCTTATTTCCTCATTTCCTCCTACCCCTTCAATACTCATTCAATCATGCACCTCAAACCTGGGCTATCCATCTAGTTTTAGTATTCTTTTAAAAAGATGCAGGGTTAATTCTGGACTTCATCTGACCTCTAGATCTTTAGTAATTCAATAATGCAATTCAATTTCCTCTCTCTCGCACTGATATCTCAATGAATCTCTCAGAATGAGTTTAGCAGCTACCGTTATTTTGGTCTGTGGACGATTGATCGAGGTTTTGACAAATTCGGCCCTTCAGAGCTTTTTTTAATAAAATGACCACAGGAAAATATGAGATTAAGGATATATTTTTCATAATTTCAGACACTGGATTCTCATGCCAGTGTCTATTCCATCACCATCTCCGGATATAAATATGGATTATTACAATGACATTCCACCCATTCTCTCTACAATGTATTCTTTTATAGATAGCCACTCAAAAGGTTTCACAGCTGTTGAAAATCTGTTCTTGGCAAGCTTTGTGCCTCAAATAAACATCCCCTTCTTTCAGAGGCCCATCGTGTTTAAAACCCACAGGAACCTTGAGAAATAATGTGAAGTACATTATTCATGTCCATACTGAAGCAAACCTGTCTTGGTATCTTCTAGTTCATGCTACAATCTCAAAATTATTTACTTAGAAAAGTAATTAATCTGAAAAGTTTTGTCAGTTGAAGGATGGAGTTAAGCGAGTGGATGAATAGAGAGAAAATCTCTTGTTAGGAAGGGTGATTTGAAGAGTGACATTCCACATAATACGAGCCATTGAGGGCAAGTAGAAATCAAAAAGACCTCCTTGGGTGAGTGGTGACAAGCTGGTCTCAGCAGCCAGGATCTGGTATAGGATGTAACAGTGGGACTTGGCCAGCCAGAGCACAGGGGAGAGAGAGAGATGCCACTTTTAGGAATGAACCAGAGCATTTTAAGAGCTGGCCAGAGGCTCTCAATCTATAAAGATTGACAGGCTTGTCCATTCCGTTTCAGTGGCCTGTGGAGGGATAAGGGGTTCGGAATGAGAAAGAAAAGAAAGGTGCTTTGTTGGTGCATCCTATTCCCTGCAGACTACACTACTTCCTGTCTCCATGGGCTGCCCATGTGAGCAGGGATGCTGTGATGTTGACTGTAAGCCATTACCACCTTCCTTTTGGTGTTATCTGTTGGCATTTGAAGTTCCTGGCACTTTGTGGATCCAGCTCACAAGGCTTCACATAAAGAGTAAGTGCGGTGTTTGTTCCAAAAAGTTGACTGTCATTCAGGCCCGCTTGGAGTTGAATGGACAGGACTCATTTTCTCTCTGGAGACGCCTTAGGGGAGAATCCATTCTTTCTTTCTCATCATCTGTATTCACAAATTCAAGTATACACGCTTTTCATTGTAAACCGAGAAGACCAAAGTGATATCTCCGGTACAATATAACAGAGGACAAATTTTGTGTTTCCAGCAACACAAAAAAATTACAGTATTTTAACTTTTATTATTTTATTTTAGCTTTTATTTTTTATTTCATTCTAATTTTAGTTTTTATATATATATATTTCTATTTAGCTTTAACTTTTATTTTTATTTTACTTTGACAGTTTTAGTAATTTTGGTACTTATAAATTAGAAATGTTGCCTTGGTTTCTAACTGAAATAAAGTAAGTTTAAGTTTTTCTTCTAATATTTTATTTTATTTCAGTTATCAAAAGTGATTTTTAATAGTTTTCGTTTTCATTTTTAATAGCATTTCATTTTTCAAAGTTGGCTCAATTTTTGACAGAGAATACAACTCTGTATATGAATGTCTATGACTTACAGCTTTCCATGCTCTGTGTAAAAAAAGCATAATACTGAAGTGAGCACATGCATTAGGTAATCTGTACATACACTCACTCTCTAAGGCTGCTCTGAAGTCTTAGTAACGCATAGTAACACACTCAAGAAGAATTTTAAAGCAGTGGGGAGGAGAAAGACTTAAAATAACCTTAAATGGTAATTGAGGTCGAGAATGTGTGGAAACTGAGAAAAAAAAAAGAAGAAACAAGAGTCGAGGACAGTTCTTTCAATCAAACCATTAGTCAGACAGAAATAAAAATGTAAGTGAGCAGCCCACATCCTGAAGGCCAGTCTTCCCTCTCTAAATTATAGGTGTTAGGTGCACATTTAGAAAGTGCAGATGGGCCAGGCAGTGGCTGAGCTTTTCTAATGCAGTCACACACCAGCAAACATGCATTAGTGTGGTAGCTCTTCCATCTTTTTCTGCACTCCACCGCAGTGCAAACTCATTTCAGACATGTTACCGAATTACACCATGTTGCAGTTCTGCTGCTTTTGTATGAATATCATTGCTCAGCTTCCTTTGAATTTCTCCAGACTTCTCGATCTTGACGTGGCAGTGAAAAAGAAGGCGGCCTGTTGAACCACCACACATCCGTCATGCGCAGTCTTGGCTAAATGCTTGCCCAAGCCCAGGTCATGAAGAGAGTTCATGTGAACATGATCGATGTGCGGTGGTTGCATAGTAGAAGATTTGAACTAAATGTTTACCCTCAGACCCAGACAGGAACTTGCAGAAGTCAAATATTGAAACTTTCAGTGGATATTAATTGATTTTACACAGGAATAGTTCACACCAAAGTGTAGGTTGTTTCAAGATACTTTGTAAGACGTCTCAGTGTTTCTTTTGTCCATACATTGAAACTCAGTGGCATCCAATGTTGTTTGGATCACATTGACTTGTATGGACAAAAACAGTTTAAACATTCTTTATATTATATCTTCCACAGAAGAAATAAAGTCATACAGGTTTGGAACAATGTGGGGGTGAGTAAGTGATGACAGAATTTACATTTTTGGATTCAAATTTAACAGTCTTTACAAATAGCCCATATTATTTTCAATATTGCAATGTGAAAACAAATGTACAAATTAGTTAATTAGATAATTGTAATAGAATAGAATAGAATAGAATATTATGCATTTTAGCACAAGTGTCAAATTAGGTAGATGCGGACATAAGTTGTGTGACGTGATCTCATCCTTAAAAAAATGATAATAATAATAAAATGCTGTGATACATTTTTTGTGTTTATTTTGTACAAAAAAACAGTTGTGGTACTGTTTTGAGTCTCCAATTGGTGTGTCCAATGTAAAATCTGTTCCTAAAGCAAAACCAATTGAGAACCACTGGAATACACGAGAGAACTTTCTCTGTTTGTGTTTGTTAGATCAGTGGATCTTGTCTTGAAGTTCTCAGAGCCATGGCTTATTATGAAAATGTAGAGGAACACACACACACAAAGTCACATCCCGGGGAGTAGCATACAGTGAATCATATGTCCGCCGTCATCATTTAGCATTTAGGCAGGAGGAAGCTAATTATCCACTCCGTACTATCACTGCAAATGTCTCCAGCCTAACTGGGTATTCTCAAAATGTCTTTGTAATTTGTGTTGGAGGAACTGACCCTGAATCAGCAAGAAGGAGCTTCTTCTTTTGGGTTTATGACCTCGAGTCAAGTTTTAATGAAAGACGCCCTGATTACATTGCCTGAGATTGGGCTGCTATTATCAAGAAACCAAGCGTCCATCAGGCTATTGGCTTTTTTAGGCAGTTTGTCTATTGAACTGCTCAGTGTATCTGTGAAAGTGGAGTGTCTTTGATTTTCTGTCTTTATTTCTCTGTCGTGATAATCATGCATTTGTCCTACCCTGTTGTTTTGTCCACTTTTCATTTCGCCAGGTGCATCACAACACTGACAGGAGGAGATGCAATCAATTTTTACCCCATAGCTAATCTGTATCTGTCTGTGTTCGACTTTGTTCACCAGTGTTTTATGTGTAATTCTGTTGTCTATCTGTCATATACGTGTGCAGGTTTTGAATTACTGTATCAGCCGGAGGTGGTCCGACTCTACCTGTCCCTGCTTACAGAAAGCCAGAACTATAACACGCTAGAAGCAGCGGCCGGAGCTCTACAGAACCTCAGCGCTGGACACTGGACAGTAAGTGTCTTCTCAGAACATTCCTGCACATAACAAATTTGGGAGAACCAGGAATTGGAAACTGATTCCTATTTAGATCCACTTAAAAAACAATCCCAGATCAAAATTATTTTCATGATATTTGATTCCACAGAGATTCAGGATAGGGAATTTTATGATGGACATCATCATAAAATATAGAAATAAAACATACAGTTATTAGAGCCGTTGTCATGACGACATCCCCCATCTTATGTTCTTTCAGCTGTCCATGTGAATCTTTTGAGAACTATAAACAAGCATTTTATTTATGCTTTTAAAATAACCTTTTTTGTGGTATATACACTACCATTCAAATGTTTTTTTTTATTTTTTTTATTTAATTAAAAAAAAAATGTTGTAATGTTTTTAACAAGAAGTCTCTTATGCTTACCAAGGCTGCAGTAATATAAAAACAGTAATATTGTGAATTTTTTTTTTTACAGTTTAAAATAAGTTATATATTTTCATTTTACATATTTTAAAAATTTAATTTACACATGGTCCTTCAGAAATCATTCTAATATGCTGATTTAGTGCTCAATTTTCACATATTTTATGTTATAAATAATAATCCATAAACCTTAATTTGTAATGTTTTGTTTTTGTCTGCTTCCAGTGCACCTTGAACACATTTCTAGTCAATACTTAATTACGAGTGTGACATGTCTGTACCACAGTGTTGTGTGGAGCTCTCTTTTCTCTTGACGCAGAAGTCAAGAGGAAATGCCCCTAATAAACACGCACATCCCCCTACACCTATTGCAAGAGTAAATCCCATTAAACTGCACTGCCCTGACCCTGCTTCCTTTTCCATGTCGGACCTGAAGTGCAGCTATGCATAAGCTCACAGCTTCTCTGTCTGGTTACGCCGCTTCAGACCTGCCTCATCTCTATGCCTGGTGACACACGTGTGTGCTTGTGAACCCAGTGTTCCTAGCTCATCACAAACCCCTGCTGTAGGGAGACGGGCATGTCACGTCTGTGGTCTATAAGAGGATTTGAGAGATTTTATTTATTAATTTATTCTCTTTCCTACTTTTCTGCAAATGTGTTTCTAGGCTCACTACCATCTCCTAGTGGCCATGGTGTGGTATTGCAACAACTTAATTACTATCTCAGGGGCACTGGTTGAGGAATAGACATTTCTTGTGTCACATAAAGGTTTTGTGATTCATGGGGTTGGAGTGAAAATGCACACAAGTCTAACGGGGAACAAATGGCTATTTACTGGATTGCAGTTTCCCAGAATAGAGGAGCTTTTTCTTGCACACATACTCGGACAGGCATATTCCTGTTCTGAAAGATTTGCAGAGCTGCATGTCTGGCTGAGCATAAGTTGACTTGACTTAATGAAATGAATGCAGTGGAAAAATGTCTGAATCACTGGCTTAATACAGTCTTTTCCTCTCATTTCTACAGTGGTCGAACTATATCCGGGCGACAGTGCGTAAGGAGAAAGGACTGCCAATCCTCGTCGAGCTCTTGCGCTCGGACTCAGACAAGGTGGTGCGAGCTGTGGCCATCGCTCTGAGGAACCTGTCCATCGACCGCCGCAACAAAGACCTAATAGGCAAGAGTAGCATTTCTAGATCATTAGTGCCCATAATGTTAAACACATATTTACATGATACTTAAATGTGCACTCAGAATTTTTTTTCCTTATTAAAAAGTTTTGCACAAAAAGTCAGATTTAGTCATTTAAAGGGATACTCCACCCCAAAATGAAAATGTTGTCATTAATCACTTACCCCCATGTCGTTCCAACCCCGTAAAAGCTTCGTTCGTCTTCGGAACACAATTTAAGATATTTTGGATGAAAACCGGGAGGCTTGTGACTGTCCCATTGACTGCCAAGTAAATTACACTGTCAAGGTCCAGAAAAGTATGAAAGACATCGTCAGAATAGTCCATCTGCCATCAGTGGTTCAACCGTAACGTTATGAAGCGATGAGAATACTTTTTGTAAGCGAAGAAAACAAAAATAACACCTTTATTCAACAATTCGTCTCCTCTGTCTCCGCATCACTGTAGCGCCATTTTGGAGAATAACCACTGAACGCAAGCAGCGTACGCTATTCTGTGTCAGCCGCGACACAAGGATACGTTTTCTACGAGTATTCACGCTTTGATTTGAACGAAAATAGCGCATCCGTGCAGCGCGGCTGACACAGAATAGCATACGCTGCTTGCGTTCAGTGGTTATTCTCCAAAATGGCGCTACGGTTATACGGAGAGACACAGAGGAGATGAATTGTTGAATAAAGTCGTTATTTTTGTTTTCTTCGCGTACAAAAAGTATTCTCGTCGCTTCATAACGTTACGGTTGAACCACTGATGGCAGATGGACTATTCTGACGATGTCTTTCATACTTTTCTGGACCTTGACAGTGTAATTTACTTGGCAGTCAATGGGACAGTCACAAGCCTCCCGGTTTTCATCCAAAATATCTTAAATTGTGTTCCGAAGACGAACGAAGCTTTTAGGGGTTTGGAACGACATGGGGGTAAGTGATTCATGACAAAATTTTCATTTTGGTGTGGAGTATCCCTTTAACGGTATGATTTTGTAATGTTTTTGAAAGACGTCTCTCATGCTCACCAAGTCTGCATTTATTTTATCTGTATTTTTAAGCATACAGTAAAAATAGTAATATTGTGAAATATTATTACAGTTTATAATAATTGTTTTCTATATTAAAAAAAATCTAAAATGTAATTAAATCCTGTTATAGTAAAGCTGAATTTTCAGCAGTCATTACTCCATTACTTCATGGTAACTGCAACTTGCTTGACATTCTTTCAGAGCGGAATCTTTCATTTTTTGTATATTATCATCTTCAGGGAGTTATGCTATGAGGGACTTGGTCAGCAACTTGCCCAGCGGACAGCAGCGGCCAGCCAAGAACCTGGAGGAGGATACAGTGGTGGCCATCCTCAACACAATCCATGAAATCATCATTGACAGCTCTGAGAACGCCCGCTCTCTCATTACTGCTCAAGCAATCGACAAACTAGTGGCCATCAACAGGACCAGGTAAGAAGGGAACAGAGAATGGACCAAGATTATGGTAATGACACAATATATGGTCTCTCTTTGATCAGAGTTAAGCTTTATTCACACTGTAAGTTTCTGATTTCTGCTCAAACCAGATATTTTGTGAAACTAGAATATTAAATTTAAAAAGCTTTAACATTTTAACCTTTATTTTCACTTTTCATCTTTCTATGTTATAATTGATTTTTAGATCAAGCCAACTATCTGCGGTATTTTCACTTCAACCAATTATGATTTCTTAAGGCTTGCTTAGTTCTGTATGTACACAAACAACAGGTTTTTGATCTGTGTAAACATCTTATGTTAGTTTGGGTCCTCCTTAACTGGCAGAGAAAAACAGCAACAAGAGTTGCTGCTTTTTGAAGTGTCTTATTTTTATCACCACACATGTCATCTTTAATATATGCGTGTTAAAAACTGAATATTAAATGGTGCAGTGCTGTAGATATCAAAAGCAGCAGAGACCTCCGGAGAGTGAGCCATATGTTAAACAAACAACCTCCATCCTTTCCACATGTGACCTCATTTAAAACTGCACATCATTTATACCATTTCTGCCTGAGCATGATTTTACCCAAAACTAAATATTGATTGTAAGAGATTAACTTTTTAAAGAGTACATGCTAGACTGGAGAGTGGCTACACGGCCTCTCTCTATCTCTCTCTGACTCTTTGAAGTCGTAGGCTCCTGGTAATTAAGTGAGGATCACAGGAAAAGCTAATGAAGTGAAAAGAGAGAAATCTGTGGCCACGGGTTAGAGATTGGAGCCACAGTGACACTGCGATGCTGGGAGGGGAATAGATGACTTTGAATTTGAGAGTTATTCCACTGGGCTCTGGATTCTGCATAACTCTTTTCCCTCCATGTTTATGCATTGCAGCCAGTCAGCAAGGGAAACCAAAGCTGCTTCACATGTACTACAGACGGTTTGGAGCTATAAGGAGCTGAGAAATGCCCTGACCAAGGATGGCTGGAATAAAACACACTTCCAAGTAGAGTGAAGCATAAACACACACAAACACTCTGATTTCTCAGTTATTCCTAAACCAAAGTGTAAAGTGGAGAAAGGTAAATCCCATGAAGAAATTTCCAGGTCACACTTCACTTTAAAATGTAAAGAAAAACTAAGAAATTAATAAGAAAATATTTGCATAGTGAAAATTGAGTGTTAATGGAGTGTCATTTTCATGATAATCAAGCAGAATTGTCCCCCAAAATTCTCATGCCCTCTCAAATTTCTCAAAAAAAAAAAAAAAGTCTTGTTCTCATTAATTTAATACATTCCTGAGTGGACACAATGATTTTTTTTATTTTTTTTTTTACATTTTTAAATATATATAATATGAAATGATATTAAAGGTCACATAAATAATAATTAATAATTATTATAAATATATTCAGTGAAACAAATACTGCTATGATGTATACTTCATTTATGCTGTATTTGACAAATGTACATTAATTATATTATGAAAGTGTTCTCATTTCAAATGTCACATATTTTTCACATCACAGTATTTTTTGTCGAACGAGAATGAGATCAAATGTGCTTAAGTTTATTTATTGTGCCTAGGTGCCAGTAAAATTATTTCAGAATGCAAAAAATCACGATGGTCAAAATAATAGATCTCATTTCCTTGATGCAAAATAAATTTTTTCGAAAGAAAGTGAAATATGATTCAGACATTTCTTGATGGTTTCTGTGAGATTCACATTCTATTGTGACTATCCTTTGCATCCCTTACTGTACATATTTTATGAAGAAAGAGACCTAGTTTGTCCTAATCCAAGTGCTTTTTGTGAAGGTTTGTCACTCTGTCCTGTGTTTCTGAAACATTCTCCTCTTGATCCTTCTCAGCCGATACCGACTGGCACTCCCAAAGGATCTAAGAGTTGCAAGCCTGGCTACGACGATACTACACTCCCCTTGATGGAGACGAACCAAGGTTAGCGTAAGACCCCAAACAGAGACTTTACACACCCTGATAGCAGCGAATCTGGGTGCTCAGGGGAGTTCTGGCGGTTCAGGTGCACCTGAGCGAGCATATCTTCTGAACTCTACTACTTTCTGTGTTTTAACACACGGCAGAATGCTTGATCTCTCACCCCCGCTGCTCAGCTGGTGTGTGCAGCTGCCGCATCTCTTGTGCTTTAATCGGTCATTTGAGTGGTTCATATGATACAGAATGATTTATGAGGATCAGACAGCAGATTAATGGGCCTCAATGTAGGAGCTCATTATTCATTCACTCTCAAGTAAAATGATGGTAAATTACTGCAGTGCTGCAATAAAAAGCACCATCCGTCCACCCAGGGCACATCTCATTGAGAGAGGAGTTAACATGACAGCTTTGGCTTTTTTTTTTTTTTATTGCTGCTGTTAGCATGGATACTCATGACAGTGATACATTTGATCACTTCCATCAGTCCCATGCCATTACCTGCTTGCCTTACTATGGAGAATTGAGCACAACAGTGACCGCCCATCTTTTCGGAAGCCTTTGTTTCAGGAGCATTTTTCTCATTCATTTTCTCTATAGCTGAATTAAAAATCTATAAAAAGGTCTTAAACCAAACTAACCACTATGAACTACTCATCCGTGAACCATTCTGAAGGATTTTATTGAATCAGCACAATAAAATATGAAACTTTTAACTTAAGATTGTTTGTGAGTATAAAATACATGTTTTAAAGGCCCATTCACACCAAGAACGATAACTATAAAGATAACTATATTAGCGTCCACACCAGCAGACGATATCGTCTGTTTATTCCAAGCGCACTCTTGTCTGCCACTTTAAACTCTAGAGCTCGTGATAGCAGGATTGATTCTGATTGGCTGTCAATGTTTTTATCGTTCATCAGCTGGAAAAAAAATCGTTCTGGAAGTGATTCCAACGATATAGTTTCTCTGTGCCTTTATCGTTATAGCTGTGGTGTGGACTCTGCTAATCTTTAATATTGAGAACGATTTTTTGAACTATATCTTTATTGCTATCTTTATAGTTATCGTCCTTGGTGTGAACAGGACTTAAGTGTATTATTTAATCTAAAACGCAGTACAAACTGTAATATTGTGAAATTGTATTCCAATTTAAAATAACTTATCTATTTTGATATATTTTAAAATGTAATTTATTGTTGTGATGGCAAAGCTGAATTTTCAGCAGCCATTACTCAGTCTTCAGTGTCACATGATCCTTCAGAAATCATTCTAATATGCTGATTTGCTGCTCAAGAATCATTACTTATTATTATCTCACTTGAAAATGGTTTGATTTGATTGTAATTCCTATGCTTTATGGTAGTGGGCGGTTACTGTTGAGTCAGATTGCCGCTGTTCTCACTTCCTTTGTCTTCTCTGATTGGTGTCTCTCACTTCAGAATTGTGGATAGTTTAGGATTTTACGGAGAATTATGTATTTAAACTATTTTTAGATTTTAGATTTTTATACTTAAATTGACATTCTAAAATTGAGCATTCGTATTAGTGATGTGAAAAATCCAGCCTGTAAAATGCTTTTCAGACAACAGAGGGTGTAGCGGTGGGGATGTGATACCTATGGATGAACTCGGTCCAGGTAAGACAATGTCGGCATGCTCTCAAAAAAACTAAATCTTACAGACTAATGTGGTTTTAAGAGAATACAAAACCATAATCCCTCTAATTCCATTGACCCTAAAATTTCTCCCAAGCAATGTTGTGTTTAGATTTAAAAGTAGTTTTTCTAACCGCATTTCTTTTTATCTGAAGAGTTTCATTCCAACGCTGTCTGCAATACCCCTCTTTTAATAAGATGTTTGTAGTGTTGTTGTGTTTGGTGTGTTTTGGGCCAATGAAAATTTGAACAGAAGCACTATTGCTTGTTCACTACAGAGTAACACCTCTTCATTATGGCGCCGTCTCTCTGATCTTCTCCACTGAAGCAGCATCCTCTCCAAGCCTGACTGACAATAATTGGACAGAGGCTGAAGATGGGGTGCTGCTTTAGTGGGTAGAAGTAAGTGATGAAATGGCAGTGACTGTGAGGGACAGCTCATACACACGGCCTGCATGAACACACACAAAACCCGCACAGTAATCACACACATCACATGCTCAGCTGTGAGCACCAGAACATCTGTGAATGCAGCACCTACGGGATGCTCCCAGTTGAAGGTTGAGGGATTCGTTTCTGTTTGTTTGAAGAGCCATGCTGAGGGTGCTGACACACCGATCATGATACCAGAGCTTTTCTGCTTTCTTTCCCTCATTAGATGGCTATTCGACGATTGACCAGAGAGACAAAGACTCCAAGTACAAAAGCAGCGACGGCTCATCTGATCTGCAGGAGCGGGAGCCGTTAAAGGTCAGAGCTGAAGTGTCAGAAGTGAGACACGTTTCTACATCTGTTTAATCTGAGAAGGCACTGTATGTGACAATGCTATCTGTGGTAGTGTGGTAATATCCTGTCTGTCTCATTAGCTGCTTCAGGCACCAACACTGCAAGTTGTGCAGAGAAAAGAGAAATTATATATTAACAGTGAATTTGGGTTGGAGCCACGGTGAAGTGGTTAGACTTAACTTCCCCTCATACAGTCTGTTGTTAGCTCCATGTGGTGCTTAAAAAGATAATTAAATGTCAGCTTTGTGATTTTTTAAAGTTATTAATGTAGAGATGATTAAGAAACTGCCTGGTACTACTATTTTCCCCCTCTGACTGTCATCTGTAGGAGAGGTCGACTTGCATATCAAGTGCCTCTGCAACAGTAGATTGAGTTCTGAGAAATTATATATTAACAGTGAATTTGGGTTGGAGCCACGGTGAAGCAGTTAGACTTAACTTCCCCTCATACAGTCTGTTGTTAGCTCCATGTGGTGCTTAAAAAGATAATTAAATGTCAGCTTTGTGATTTTTTTAAGTTATTAATGTAGAGATGATTAAGAAACTGCCTGGTACTACTATTTTCCCCCTCTGACTGTCATCTGTAGGAGAGGTCGACTTGCATATCAAGTGCCTCTGCAACAGTAGATTGAGTTCTCTTACTCCTTCTTGACTTTATATGGATTCATCTCATATAATCAGTGTTATCAGAGTCCAGTGTGAGAGTGATTCACATTACTGTGTCTGCATTCGAAAGAGGCCACACTGTGCTCATAGATGAGCGTGTTCATGGACGCCTCTGCATTGTTGACGACTACATTTCTGTACCATCTGTAGTCCGTCTCAGCATTGTGACAGGGCTTTGTATCTCAACAGCTGCCTGCCATATTTCTTTGTTAGACTTTCCGAACGCTTTAATAGATGTCATGACAAATTCTGATTCCTGTCGCTTCGACTGTCAGAACGTCAACTGAACAAACAGATTCATTCTTTTCTATTGTCACAATATTTGGCAGACATTAAGGATTTATTTCCCTACTAATACAATGAAGTTGCTCCCTCTAGGGGACCTTGCTGGCACAACACGCATGTATACCTAAAAATCATGCCGATCAAAGTTTTGTTGTTTTCAGAATGGATCTTTGTTCGGTTCTGCATGCATTCACTTCAATTACCTTTCTCTTCTATAATTTCAAACTGTTTATTTTCCCCTTGAGCTTCCCCTGCTGCAAGGACTAACTCTGGCCTTTCTCTGTGTGTTTAAACTGTTGGTTTTGCTGATTTGAACCCCTCTCCCATTGCTGCAGAATGACACAAATAGGAAACACTATATCAGGAGCAACAGGCCGACTGTCAGCCTGGTGGATGCTTGTGATGTAAAACCTCAGCCTGTTGACTCCTGGGTCTAAATGCATGCATGGTAGGTTTTATGTGTTGGATTTGGGTGTTTTATTGTAGTGGTTTTGTTCTCACCCATCCTGTTTATGAAATAACTCCCATCCTTTTTTCATAATTTGCTCTGTCTAACCCAGAGAAGTGCATTGTCTGAATCGGTCGCTAATCTGACGACTGCATGTTCAGATCTTAAAATATAATTTTCTTCATGAGGATTGTGATTCAGAATAGATGTGAAGATAGGATCAAACAGATTTCTTGAAGAGTGGAGCATGATTAAGTGTCTATATTGCATGTACTCTACCGTTCAAAAGCTTGATTTTTTTTTATCAAAAAACAGTAATATTTTGAAATATTACAGTTTAAAATAAGTTTTTTTTTTATATATATTTTAAGATGCAATTTATTCCTGTGATGGCAAAGCTGAATTTTCAGCAGCCATTATTTCAGTCTTCAGTGTCACATGATCCTTCAGAAATTATTCTAATATGCTCATTTGCTGCTCAAGAAACATTTTCTATTATTATCAATGTTGAAAACAGTTGTGCTGCTTAATATTTTTGTGGAAACCATGATACATTTTTTCAGCATTCTTTGGTGAATAGAAAGTTCAAAAGAACTGCATTTATTTCAGATAGAAAACAAATTTTTTTACTGTCACTTTGGATCAATTTAATGTGTCCTTGCTGACTTTTTGCTGAAAGTATTATTTTCTTTTAAATAAAATCTCACCCCAAACCTTTGAACGCTTTTCACTCATTTTCTGTGGAAAGTGGACTAAATGAAGAAACTACACTGTGTACACTCGTACATGTTCCAGTGCTGACTTCTCTGGGTTAGCATCATCATCGTCTGTTTATTTTCACTCTCATGCTTGCCAAATATCTGCTCATCATCCTTGCTTTCCTCATCCCATACTGTATCTGTCTGGCAGGAAACCATCATCAGTTCAGTTCTAGTCCTTGAAACATGTAGAATTTAATCATGTCCAGTATTGTTTAAATCTGGTAAGTCATATAGAGAAAACATGTCATTAGTTTCAACATCCTAAAAATCATCCATCATTCAAGTGACATGCTCGCTTTCATTTGGCAGACATTATCTTGTGCATGTCTATAAATGTAATCATGTCTTTGTTTGTGAACATATTACAAATATCTCTCATTAGAACGCACATTTTTATTTAGTCTGATAATGTCGTCTGATGTCTGTGGCTTTCCTGCCCTCTCCGCTGCAGGCTTAACTAGCAACAGCGCCACATCTTACCACACAAGGATTTCACGTCACCACTGCCATTAACCGCAGAGCTCACCGTGATGTGGACTCATCTGAAGACTTTTGCCTAAAAGAGCGAGAGAAAAATACAAACTTTCATTCAACAGCCAATATTTTGAGATTTCTCAACAAGTGAAAAGGAAAAAAAACAAAACATTTCTCATATGTACATTCCCACTGGACGTAGTGTACCCAGAACTGAGGATTTGCTGTCACGGAGCCAGAATGATGGATTGATTTGAGTGTACAGGAAGTGCTGTCATGGACGTGGACGTGTATTGGAAAGAATTGGATTGAGGGGTAAAAGGAAATAAGAAGAAAAACTATTTTTGTCAAAACAAAAAAATATAATTTTTGCCTATATTATTTTTGTTGTACGTTTCTGCCTGATTACTGTTTGTTTTGTGGATTTGTTTTCCCCCGAAGTGCAGTGAATTGTTCATTTTGTTTTGATTTGTTTTCATTTTGTAGAGTTTTTATGAAATTTTCGGTTTTCTAAATTAGTTGAGGACACTTGCGAAAGGAGGAAAAATAATGTTTTTTTTTTGTTGTTGATGATGTTCATTACAACGGTGTGGGGGCACATACAAAGTCTGGTGGGGGGGTCTATATTGAAATGCACGCTTTTGCAATTTCTGTGTGCTGGCTTTATAAAGCAACTTTAAAGACATATTATCACTGTGTTTGTTTCTTCTCACTTAGAACTGTTGTTAAAAAGCAGGGATTTACCTGCTTACAGTGACATCTGCTCGTAGTGGAGCTGAGAGGAGGAGAGCTGCTGTGCTTTCAGCTGGATTTGGTCTGCTGATCTTGTATTCCCCTTGACATGTCGAGCTGTAGAGGCATTCTGGGTAACACTGGCACTTACCAATTATTGCTTTGGTTTATTTAAAAAAGGGTAATGAGGGGGAAAAAATCTATTTGTTAATATGTAGATTGTGCTATGAGGGATGGTAGGGGGATTCAGTTGCTCCTGTTGTCATAAAGGTAGATTTTAAAAGCATTTTATATTTTTGTTGTTTTATAAATGTATATTAGTTGCAAATATTAAAAAAAGAGGGCAAAAAGGTCACAATCATCCTTATAACATTGATAGATGTGAATCCATAACAGATTGTTCAGAGCACATTCAGTATTCCGTACACAAAGCATGGCCATGTTTTTATAAAAACTATTAATAATATAATAAACAGATCATTGCTTTAGTTAAATGTGTATCAAAGGCTGTAGAGTCATTCTCATTGTCTTATTTATATTTAATATTTTTTACACCTTGTTTTGTTAAATGGAAGCATTTATTATCAGTGTTGTTTTTTCAATTGGAAAACATGTTCAAAATGATCTGATTGGTTGGCAAAATTTAAAGGAAAGACCAGAATGAATTTCAGAAGAGGGATAGATACTTCCTTTCATTTCAGCTCTTATGCAAGTCTTTCTAAATACTTTCACATCAAAAATGTATCTCTCGAGTATAACAAAATAACATGACAATTGTGGATACTCAAATGTTTCCACTGTCAATGTAAAGATATCCTGTGTTATATCATTTTTACCCATAACCACGTAAAAATGGGCAAACACTAATATACCAAGTAGAACGACAAATTATTTTGTTCTTATTCCAGACAGTTTCCTGATAATGTGTAATATGCAGCACACACCTGCTTTATCATCTGATTTCTGTCATGTAAGTCTATATCTAACTCTCTATAGCAAGGTTTTTTCAGTAGTGTTTTAACAGAGACTCCTAATAACAAAAAAAAAAACAGTGTAATCATTTAATGTTTAAAGAGGAAATGATGTGTACGTTCACGTCGAGATCTTTAGCCTTGTGTAGGTTCATTATTAATATTTGACTGTCTGTTCCTGACTGCCTTTTTGCAGAACACAACCAAAGGATTTTGGTACCGTGTAGTACAAGAGAAGAGGTTCCCAGAGTGTGAATTTGCATCAGATTGTATGTTTATAGAAAAACAGATGTTGAAATGGATTCAAGAGCAACCTACCTTTGTAGATATCACTAATTCAAAGCATCAAAACTCAGTACATGTACAACTTGGTAGCAAATGTGTTTGTAACTATCATGTGCCTTAACCTTTTTCCATATTAGATGAAAATAAGTGTTTTATATGTTTTATTGGTCCCTAACTGCTCTTTCTCTCTCTCTCTATCTCCGTCTCTCTCTCTCTCTCTGTGTGTGTCTCTTTGACATACAAACACACACACACACACACCTCCTCTCTCTGGCTCCTCCCACTTTCACTCACTGTGTTCTCAATGTAGTCTAGACTGGTGGTGGGTTTTGCCTTGTATTACATTGTATTATAAACTTTTAAAAGATAGAAACGTTAAAAGGTTTTGATTATATAGTTGTTTATGCTTTCCTAGCACTCAAGAACAATGCCACAGTGACCGAATGCATTGCTTTAGTTAAATGTGTATCAAAGGCTGTAGAGTCATTCTCATTGTCTTATTTATATTTAATATTTTTTACACCTTGTTTTGTTAAATGGAAGCATTTATTATCAGTGTTGTTTTTTCAATTGGAAAACATGTTCAAAATGATCTGATTGGTTGGCAAAATTTAAAGGAAAGACCAGAATGAATTTCAGAAGAGGGATAGATACTTCCTTTCATTTCAGCTCTTATGCAAGTCTTTCTAAATACTTTCACATCAAAAATGTATCTCTCGAGTATAACAAAATAACATGACAATTGTGGATACTCAAATGTTTCCACTGTCAATGTAAAGATATCCTGTGTTATATCATTTTTACCCATAACCACGTAAAAATGGGCAAACACTAATATACCAAGTAGAACGACAAATTATTTTGTTCTTATTCCAGACAGTTTCCTGATAATGTGTAATATGCAGCACACACCTGCTTTATCATCTGATTTCTGTCATGTAAGTCTATATCTAACTCTCTATAGCAAGGTTTTTTCAGTAGTGTTTTAACAGAGACTCCTAATAACAAAAAAAAAAACAGTGTAATCATTTAATGTTTAAAGAGGAAATGATGTGTACGTTCACGTCGAGATCTTTAGCCTTGTGTAGGTTCATTATTAATATTTGACTGTCTGTTCCTGACTGCCTTTTTGCAGAACACAACCAAAGGATTTTGGTACCGTGTAGTACAAGAGAAGAGGTTCCCAGAGTGTGAATTTGCATCAGATTGTATGTTTATAGAAAAACAGATGTTGAAATGGATTCAAGAGCAACCTACCTTTGTAGATATCACTAATTCAAAGCATCAAAACTCAGTACATGTACAACTTGGTAGCAAATGTGTTTGTAACTATCATGTGCCTTAACCTTTTTCCATATTAGATGAAAATAAGTGTTTTATATGTTTTATTGGTCCCTAACTGCTCTTTCTCTCTCTCTCTATCTCCGTCTCTCTCTCTCTCTCTGTGTGTGTCTCTTTGACATACAAACACACACACACACACACCTCCTCTCTCTGGCTCCTCCCACTTTCACTCACTGTGTTCTCAATGTAGTCTAGACTGGTGGTGGGTTTTGCCTTGTATTACATTGTATTATAAACTTTTAAAAGATAGAAACGTTAAAAGGTTTTGATTATATAGTTGTTTATGCTTTCCTAGCACTCAAGAACAATGCCACAGTGACCGAATGTATTGTTAATTTTACTAATACCCAGAAGAGAGAATTGCTCTTGTTAAAGAAAAATACAGGTTTGTAGAGTATCACTTTGGTGTGTTTTCAATAAATCATGCCTGAAATGAGCATATTCTGTCTGTTTCTTTTCCTTCCCCCCCCTAATTTAATTTTTTTTGTGTCATTTTGTAGTTTTGGACCCCATTGACTTTCAGTGTATGGCTAAAACAGTTGAAATGTTGTTCAAAATGTTATTTTGTGTTCCATAGAAGACAGAAAACCATGCCGATGACCTAAGGGTGAGTAAATGATGAAAGAATGTTTATTTTTGTATGGACCATACTTTAATACACTTTCAATCTTCATTTCAGGCAAATGATGCATTTACTAGAAACAGCTTGTCACATGAGTTTTCATCAGAAAACAGGTTTTTGTTTCATAGTCATAATAATTTAGTTCCTCTAGAAATCTCTTGAATTTTTTACATTTGTACATGATTTAAAGATTGATACTCCCTCTGGCTGTTTAACAACTCCAAGAGCGGAAATATTTATTTCAGGAATTTCATTTGGTAAAAACTGCTAAATATTTCTAACTTTGTGCATTAAATCACATCATCCAGTGTGTGTGCAGCTCCTGCGATGGCCTGTGTGACGATGGATATGTGTTTATGAGCCTGATCCCAGTCTTCCTTCAGCCCGGTGCTCTCAGCCTTCTCTACTGTATCTGCCAGGCCGGGGAAGGTGGGCACACTTGATGACCATATCACATGCCTGTGTGGTGCCAGACAGCGTTAGAAGTGATTGCAAACAGGTGTGACATCAGCATGAACAAATGGAGAATGGTAAGGGGAATGCAGATTAATATTCATAAGGGACCGGTCATTAGTAGCAGGACATTTTAATAATGCTGCTTCATACCTGAAACCATATTGCTCTGGGAATGCTAGCGGGTCAAGGAAAGCTCTGTCCAGCAGCATGAGCTGGTCGTTAATTTGATGAACCTTCAGGGGCCTGTTGTGAAGACAGAAGTTATGTTTATGCTGTTATGTACCCTTGACACCACAGCAGGTGGGTTTGACATCACTTTAACCCTGTAAAGCCTACTCTATCAAATTTCTAATGCCTCTAAATTA